GGCGTTATCGATCGGGCGTCTATCAGCTGGATGGGCAGTGGGTAGGCTGACTAGCATTGTCAGGAGGTTGAATCAGGTGGACGAGTTGCCCAGCTCACAAACCGAGTCGAATGGGCGGCGCCAATGAGGCAATTAACGAGCCCACGCGCCCCAATGGCAAGGTGGGTGCGAGGGGCCGCGCCAAACGACATACACCCAGTGCCTTTTACGACGCGTGGTATGGCAATGTTGCGCAAGCTACAGAAAATAGTTGGAGTTTTACTAGAGCACGACATCATCTTCGCAGCACGCGAGCAGGATATTCTTCAAACTAGGCTAGTTTTTGTTGCGATAAATTCGCGAGGAAGAAAACCATTACCAAAACGCCTCTTTATTCCCTATAGCCTGCAGGTGATTAAGCGTTGCCCTAATGGCATAGTTGAAGAATCTCAAGTCCCCCGCAATTTTTAACGAGCGTCAACGGCTGGCGTCTGAATTTTTTTAAGAATCGGTCCATTATACAGGCAGCCCCGCAACCGCTCATCATCTATCGTTTCCCCAGACGTAAAGGCTACTTTCATAGTCCGCCGGCCAAGGGACTTCACGGTCTGCGGTAGCGATAAAGTTTCTGTTGTAAACAAGAGGCAAGCGCCGCCCCAGGCAAGGCAGGCCGGCGGACTACGGTAGCAGCCAAACTTGTTGTACGTACTTAGAACTGGTTTTACCTGGAGAGCATTTATTTTCAGCACCGACCATCTCTTTCAAGATTGAGAACGTACCGCGCAAAGAAGGTGAAAGGACGGTTGCTCCTGATTTAAAAGCACAGCGGATACGAAGAATGAATTCGGTAACCTCCTAAGCATTTGCACACGAAGGATTTTTCTGAGCAGAAAAGAAAAGTAGGCTCAACTTTTTTTTTCATTTTCGAAGTTCACAATATTCAATAAACAGGGGAAACCTTGTGAAGTGTAATAGGGCAAGAACTCCTGACCGAATAAGCACTCACACTACGTGAGATCATGAGGGAACTTTCAACATGCTTCTTATATTGATGCTTTCACGGAAAAAGTCTTATCCGTGGCTTAACACTCCGTTCACGATAAAAATCGTGTCTTATATTTCCCTCGGGATTACCCACTGGCCCCCAAGGGTAACAGAAAGGACGCTGTCGGGCCCAAAAACTCAAGAGCTAGGGCGTAATAGGATCCCCATTACCGGATTGACCGGATGCGACGCCCATCGACCGATGATGTGTCGGATGAGTGTCGAGGTGATACAGTTTGCAATATTCGCTCCAGGACCCCACACAATCAGCTGATCGCCGGGTAAAGAGGCGATGTTTTCTCCTGTTCCTTTATTCTCTGTTATTCTTTTTGCTGCTGCGCTCCTTATTCTAATTTTCTAACTCATGAGGCTGAAAAGGTGGACTATTTTTGGTGTTGTGTTTTTGTTCACTTATGCTTGTGATTGAATGAATTTTAAAAGACATTTTTGCCTATTGTAGTCTGCTATTCGCACCAGTACCCATACGTACGCAATGATACATGTTGTATAGCTCCTCCAAACACCCCTTTTACTTCATTATTCTAGTCTCATTCTCGTCCAATCCCCTTTTTACGATATCTTGGAAGCCTTTCATCACTTTTGAAACACCGATTCGCGCACTATCTTCGCCTTCATCGCTGTTTTACAACTTTTCTTTCACTTTTCGTCATAATGTTGATAACCTAAAATTATCGAGAACTGCGCCTTCGACTATGGCATCCGCCGGTGGGTGCCACTATGACCGGGACCATGGCACCCAATGCTGGGTGCCTTCATGTTTTTTCCTTTATTTGTACATTTGAAAGCTATTTAATATTTTCATATTTATTGGCAAACTCCATGGTATTTATATTCAACATGGTCCACGTGAACGTTTTATATGAGCTTATTTATTACAAACATATATAGTCAGTGGAGTAGTACTGAAAAGGTTTCGATACATTGGCAAGATTGGTGTGGGTCCTGAAAGCATTGGAGGCATTACTTAGAACACCTGATTTGCGATTATCTGACCGTGCGTCGATCTATTCATCCTCAAGTTCCTTGGATGTTATACAAATTCCTACTGCTGGCACTGTTACCAAAATTCTAGCCTACATTGCTTCTGACCCCGAAGTGCAATGCTAAGCCTCAGTTCAATATAAGATAAAATAAGATCTGATGCTTCTGTTATGCGGAAATATTGCTAAGATCATCAAGCCAGAGAAAGGAGTTCTTCCTGAGACCATGGCACCCACCGGTGGGTGCCAGTCGCGCACGAAAGGGTTACAGGACCGTTGTCAACCGCGTGTGTAGTGACTCAGCGTTTTTGTCGTCTTCTCTGCGTCTCCTCAAATAGGCATCTCACCGCGAAGAGGGTAGAGGGCAGACGAAAGAGCTGGCCATTCCTCAATGCCTCCTACTACTAGTGATACAATAGGAATTCTGGTTGACAACAGCCCTGTAACCGCACGAAAGCAAGAGGGCGTGATTCCATGGGCGCGTCACGTCGAAATCGTCATTGTCGTCAAAGGGTTAATTCAATTTCGATGCGTCGTATTGTCACATTCATTTAGGTTTTTCTTATGAGCATAGTTTCATAGCAACGTTTCAATTCCTGAACACAATAATACAATGCAAACATGCAAGTAAAGCAAGTGTGTTAAAGAAGTGCAAAGCATATTTCTAACCATTCTCTGGAAACCCGTAAGGTTAGGGAATGAAGAAAAACGTGTTGCGATTTGTATGAAAACACAGATAGGATTCTGATGACGTGTTGCTCTCCAACAGAAAGAAACGCGTCAGGTTTTTCATAAAATTCACTCATTTCATTGACGCACAGCTAGATTGATGATGAAGGTTCAAAAAGGAAAAACCCAGAATAAAAATTGGATAATGAATAATAAGATCTATGCCTAGAATTGTCATATTCGAAATTTGAAACTATTCATATGAAACCTTATGAGAATTACCACAGTGATTAGGTGAGCACCTACCTTACCAATAACATCAAGTAGCAGTGGTCAGAAGGTGTTGCCTCTTTTTTTATTCAAATTTTCCCCTTTCCTAATTCCACTTCGATTTTTTCCACATATTAGGGCTATTTCAGATTATGCTCTTGGAGATGCTTCTGATTCTGCTGCTAAGTGGGTTGGGGGGGGGGGGGGGG